CATGTGTCGATGACTGCATGAAAATTTTTGAGGGAATTTTTAATATTCTTGGTTTCTGTACACTTTTATTTTAATTTGTATATAATCTCTCCTGCAATTCTTTCGGAAACCTCTAAACGCAGCTGAGGAAAGCGAACATATATTTCAACCCTGGTGCCAGAAGAGCCCCTACACAAAATTTCAGATCCACGTGAAAATTTATGACACTAACCCGAAACGAACTAAAAAAGCGGAGAAAAAATAAATTTCCCAGAAGTAAATTTATAAATACGATTCATAAAAATGTGACAAAAATGACAATTTTTTGCGACATAAAAATGCGGAAAGTCATAAAAATGCGGAAAGTCATAAAAATACATACCAAGAGTAAAATCGAAAAAGAAATTTCATAAATTTTAGTGAGCAAGCAAGACGATAAGAAATGATTAACAAACTCACTTATTATGAGTGCTTCTGAAAACGCGGAGAGTGGTAGCGGACATTTTGTGATGAAAAAATAGAGAAAATACCAACATCGCAAAATTCCTTGTAATTTTTTTGTGATTCCGAAATTGTCATTTTCTTCCAGCGAGAAAACAACACCGTCACAGGCGTATTTTTCGGACGTTTTGTGGAACACGACTCAGCGTTTTCAGCAAATCGTTAACATGGAATGTATATTGGAGTTTCACCCTAGTGTTATGAAAAACACATCGCGAAATTCACATTTCACTGGCGAGAAACGCGTAAAACACATGTGGTGCTATTCACTCACAGTGTGTAACGCGAAATGACTTCGCCTCTGAATTCGTCGTCCGAATCGATAGACGCCTTAAATGAGGAGCCCTTACAAGTCTTATACTTCTTTATTTTCTCGTGCATCTTGCATGAAACTACAGCATTTCCAGGTCAAATTATTTTATACCGACAAATTTAATTTCTTGGTATTTCATTAAAGCCATGGGTAAAACGTTGATTCAAAAGGTAAAACATTAACCAGATAAAAACGCTCGCCATTCTAATCGATAGGCTCATCTTGGTCATTATCCTTACAAGTGCGACAGAAGAACGGCAAAATCCCAGTAGGTTTGTCGCCCGCTCTCAGCAGTTCGGGTTTCTGGCTGCCAAAGACTTTAACCTTTTAAATCGCCCCCCCCCTAGCGGTTTGCCTACGTTCGACCCGTAAACTGCCAGCGTCGAGGTCGCCGAGGAATGATTTCAATTGAAACTACCTCTCTAGAGAGAAAGTTACTTTTCTAAGGGAGAAAAGTAATCCAATTGTACCACCCTCTACCCAGCTGAGTATGCAGCTTAGGTGAGCTGGGATAATACACATAGTAGTGTTGAACGACATGGCACACCAACAATGCATTCAGCAGTGTTGGAGGAAAATTATCTTCTTCAGAATTTCCATATTGTCATCACCAACAACACATGCAGTTGACCATGTGCGTATCTTCATATCGCATACTGCGTTTCACAGCAGCTATTCGACGTACTCAAGTGATATACTAGCATGGCCGACCCGCAACATCTCCTCCCCCTTTCCATGCCTAATACCCCCTATAGTTATTCCCGTTCACGAAGAGCTCGGTCACCGACTACTAGCAGCCCCACTGCACTCAACAACAACAGCAATGCTGATATCAGCAATGTGACCGCTGGCTCAGTGAGGAGGTCAGTAGTCATTAAATGGATAGAAATCGATTGACACCAACGTTTTAGTCTATAGTCGTACTAGTTGCGAAGTAAAGAAAGCCCTCTCGAAAATCGACATATGCATAACTGTTTGGTTCGCACTGTAGTGATAGTTCCTTATACTTCCATATAGTTTGTTGTTAGATTTTATATATGGTAAATAGCCATTTTGTATAGATATTACATTAATAAATTATTATACTATGTAGCTATTCATGCAGTGGAGTCTAGCGGAGCGATGTACACATAGGTGTCTCATAGATATCACTCCACTACACTTCATAATTCTCTTCAGATCGCTATCAGCCAACACCTCCTCAACAGCAGCGTTATCATCAGAATTACTCTCACAAACAGCGCGACATGCTAAGGAGGTTCGAGGAGCAGTGGGTGAAGCGATGCAACTAAGACAGATTATGGAAAAACAAGAAAAGAAAATTGCATTCCTAATTGGAGAGTTGAAACTCACACGAGCTAAGCTCACGAAGAGCGACGCCGATCTGCAGAGTGCGTCGACCAGCCTTGATCGTTTGGTGAGTGACCATGCACCAGTTGCTACTATAAATTTTCAATCACACGTAGGAAAAAATACCAAAAAATGTTTAGAAAATGGAAAAATGTTGGATACTACCATCTAAACGCTAAACAACGTTTTGGAGATGAGAAAAAAATAGAAAAATTCATCATAAAAATGCTTTAGAAATTTTTTAAGAAATGGAAAAAATGTTTAATGCTATCGTGAAAATGCCGAAAATGCTCGCACAACGAAAAAATAAAAATGCAAAAAATGTCTGGAAAATGGAAAAATGTTAATTGTCATCGTTGACGTTCCTATTGCCTCCATGAGTGACACAGGGTGGGGAGGAAGTGTCCATTTTCGTCGGGCCTTGAAAAGAAAATTACAGTCCGATACACTCGAAAATATTAGAAACTAAAAAATTGGAAAAATTTCAAATGTTACCATTAACATTTCTGTTGCTCTAAATTCAGTACTCAGAAGTTGAATCTTGAGGAATCCAGTTTAGAGTTGATGTGAATCGACGGTTTACTGCTTCTTCACTGCTTATTGCGATTCGTAGTGGCGGTGTTGGAAAAGGAATATATGTAATCGCTTTCCTCACCTGCTGAGCTCAGGAGTTTCCTATACAGTGTTGGAGTAGGAATATATGTAATCGCTTTCCTCACCTGCTGAGCTCAGGAGTTTCCTATACAGTGTTGGAGTAGGAATATATGTAATCGCTTTCCTCACCTGCTGAGCTCAGGAGTTTCCTATACAGTGTTGGAGTAGGAATATATGTAATCGCTTTCCTCAGCTGAGCTCAGGAGTTTCCTATACAGTGTTGGAGTAGGAATATATATAATCGCTTTCCTCAGCACCTGAGCTCAGGAGTTTCCTATACAGTGTTGGAGTAGGAATATATGTAATCGCTTTCCTCAGCTGAGCTCAGGAGTTTCCTATACAGTGTTGGAGTAGGAATATATGTAATCGCTTTCCTCACCTGAGCTCAGGAGTTTCCTATACAGTGTTGGAGTAGGAATATATGTAATCGCTTTCCTCACCTGAGCTCAGGAGTTTCCAAAGCTAATTATGGAAATTTACATACGAATTCAAATAGGAGAGTGCAGAAACCAACGCTAAATTTTCCAAAATTTTCCCATTGTCACCAACAAATTGATTAATTCGATCATCATTCCTTCGCTCATCCTCCTTATTTCAGCTCATCGAGAGGAAGGAATTCGAGCAACGACTGATGGCGAGTAAATCGACGATTCAGAAATTGGAAGGCCAGGTGGAGTCGCTGCGGAATGAGCTCTCGAGAGGATATGCGGATCGGAGTTTCAATGATAAATCTCACTCACGATCAGTAAGTCAGGAACGACAACTCGTGATTAGTGTTGGAGGAATATACGTCAGTTTTCCTCAGCTCAGCTCAAAAGTTTCCCCACTATTTATAGCTGAAAGTGAACATAAACCAATAATAATTTTCGAGAATCTTCATATGGAGTTGACTAAATGCATATTTTCTGCCACATCATCTGTAAGCCCCGACAAGACCAGTTCATGTTGATGTACTTTTCCCTCCTAGAGAGATAACTCTCCGAAATCGATCTGCTCCCCGAACGATGACCACCATCGTGCCAAAGCCGCTTTGATATCGGCTGAGAATCTACGCCTCACAGAGGACTTGACTCGCATGGAGATGGAGGCCGCTGTTTTGAAAAGAGCTCTGGTGATGAAAGTGTCGTCACCGGGGATCGAACCTGCGATCAAACACCGACAGGTCATCAGAAGTCACGAATTGCAAGTGTCGGCGAAGGAGATGCAAGAAACCGCGAGGAGCTATGTGGAGACTCAACGGCTACGAGATGAATCCATAAGGTGAAAAACAACTGTGCAATTAAGTGTGTTTGGATTCTGGAATCATCGAGGAACCTATAATGTTCCCGGGGGGAACTCATTTAGAATTTTCCAGGTATGGTTAGGAACACATTATTCTTCAATCAGTTTCCAATGTAAATGTCATCATCACATTAGGAACATTTTTATCAAACCCTAGGGAACGTTATTTGTCGAAGTTCGATAGATTTTTGGTATGTAACCCCAACGTTTTCAGGGCGAGAGATCAGATCGATTCTCTTCGTGGTGATTGCGCTAACTACAAGGCTGAAATCGATCGGTTGAAATCTGAGGTGAATCACTTGTCAAGTTCCTTGAGTAGATCTGAAGCAACTTGTAAGGAAGTGGAAAAGGAGCGAGATGAAGCACGGAGAGAGGTGAACTAAATATACAGTGTATGCAAATGTGTGTTATTTTCCGAGATTAATGATAATCGATTTGCAATGTAACGATGGCTATGAACATGTGTTGTGATGATGAGAGTACCCGTTTGGGACTGTGATGATAGCGACAACTTGTTCACTGTCATTTGTCACACAATTGCATATCAAATTGTACTGTCCCTCAGGCTCGCCTAGCTGCACTTGAGCGTAGCAGCATCCTTGATAAAGCTGGTCATCTGCCAGCTCAGCTCGAACAAGCTCAGGAGACCATAAGAGAGTTGGAAGAAGAGCTCTCCAGGAAAGCCGGCGAACTCAGTGGTGGGTGCGACGTGATGATACTCCTGCCCAGTGTTGGAGGAATATATCTTCGCTTTGTGATCACTCACTTCATTGAGGACGCTGCTCTGGTTCGACATAGATATGGGCACTTAAAGTGGATGCTAACAATACCAAAAAATGCTGGTACTTGCTCAAATTCGCAAATACGAAGAACATAATCAACGCCTAGCGCTAGAGATAATTGACCTCACTCAGCGCCACGCTGAGATATAACAAGACGTCGAGAGAAGCAGATACTGTGCTCGCGTTATAATTACACGCTTTCCTCAGCTTTAGCCAGGAATTTCCTCCTTAACCATAGATCATCGAAATTTCTGGTGAAATGATAATAATTCAGGTTTAACAACAGCTCATAGCGCAACAGTGTCGGAGTATTGTCACGAAAAGACATTATTGTCCTCGAAAATTGACAAGTATGAACATTTGCTGGCGGATATCACCACCGAGAGGAAACAGTTGAGAGAAGATCTCGATGAGGCGCGGTTAGAAAAGTGGGTCTGCGAATGCCACCATAGTTACAGTGGCGTGTCAATTTGATATGCAAATATGTGTTATTTTCCGAGATGAATGAGAATCGATCTGTTTCACCCGTTTCACGTGAAGTGGCGTACAACTCAGTGAAAAACGCGATATTCGCGGTGCTATGCAGTAGTCGTGAAATATGTTCTTCAATAGTCTTTTTCATATCACTAGGGTGAAACTCCAATGTAATCATGCCTATGAACATATGTTGTGATGAAAGTACCCGTTTGGGACTGTGATGATAGCGACAACTTGTTCACAGTCATTTGTCCTACAAAATAACACACATTTGCATATCAAATTGGCACCTACTGTAGAGTAGATGCGCGGCACCTGTTCAGCGCACGGCTGGCTGCCGATTTCAAGGAGTCGTTCGAGAGGGCTAGTGTCAACGAAATAGCAGCTAACGCTGCTCGAGAGCATCTGGTGTCTCTGGAAGCACAGATAGAGAGATTGAGAAAAGACGTCATTGCTGGCGCGAGTGAAGGGAAGCGACGAGATGCTGAGGCTCGTCGAGTGAAAGCGGAAATATCGCGCGGTCAACAGCTACTGCGGGCGGCCTCGGGAAGGGATCGAATTGAAGAGTTAGTGGATGAACTCAGGGAAGGACTGTCGAGGAAGCAACAAGAGTTGAAGGAAATTCGAGAGGGACAGTAGACGAGTTTCATCTGGCTTTATTATGGTTCTGTCGCTCAGATACGATCTTGAAAGTAGTCTGGCAAACCGAGTGAACAACTTGAAAGCTCAGCTGGACGATGCTCTATGCGAAAAAAGAGGCAAGGCGTTCTTATGACGGGGTCAACTTCGTGTGTTTGGGAAATTATGGTTGGTTTTTGTATACTTCTAAGTCGTCTCCATAATGTAGTTTTGAAAGCGTTCGAGCTCAGCTGAGGAAAGCAAGCATATATTCCTCCAAGACTGTCAACTGAGTATCGTCGTAATGTGACTTGATTGATCGTCGTATATGTTTGGATGCTGCGTGGACTAGGAACTAGTTGATTTCGACTGTCAGAGGCAACTAGTAGAACTGATCATAGATCAGTTTTATCCGATCACGCGTTACCGCAATGAAGGGTTAAGTCATTTTCGCGACCGTTTTGAATTTTGACCGGATCTTCTTATCAGTTTCTACGATGGCCAAGAGCGACGCGGGCCGTGTGTGTGGTCTGCAGAGAGAGCATTCCAGATTGAAATCGAGTTTCGACTTGACTTGGCATCCCCGATCGCCGTCCGGGTCTACCAAGTCGACCTCACACTTGTGATCATCACATGTCTAGTTGAACTATTTCCGATATAAAGAGGTTTCAGCGTTCTTCCACGCGAACACAGCGTAACAGTAATCGAAAAACAGACCTTGCACTGCTTGCCACAAGAACGCAGCAGCAATGAGTGTTGTGACTTGTTGTTTAACAACGATTTAAGAGCCCGACGGTTTACCCTGGTCGGCTGTCTTTGAGATATGCATTCTCAGACAATGCTAAAAGAGTGGAGATTGGGTCCTCCCGTGGGACGCGTATGAAACCAATTCACACTCTACCTTATCTTCTATGTGTCTGCGTGTTACGTTTGTGCGCGGATGTAACTTTTATCATAGATCCTTGTCATGATGATTTCATCATCAGGACAACATTAGCTCAGCAGTCAATGCCTCTTAAAGTGAGTACAGTGGACTAATTTTGCACACATATCCCTTTGTACGCTGTACGCGAGAACCATTTGCCTCGGTACGACTAGTTGAGTACTCTACTTCCTCATATGCTACATCACTCACGCCGTGAATCCCTTGTCTGTCACGGGAGTCGAAAGAATCTTTGCGCACATTACTAAGTACTAATGCTAATCGAGCTTTCTCGTCACATACACTCACGCACAAAGCCCTCGTGAAGTGCCAGAATGCACAATTTGATCATCTCAACCAGCATAGCTCAAGCCTTCGACTATACTTCATCGATATATGCTAACAAGAGCCGTTACGGCATTAAGCAGCAGTTATTGCACTGTCCCAGGTCCAACATGATCTCATGGAACGGTTGCATTCCAACTGGGTGATCTCACTCATCGAACGAAACCCCGATAATGTTAACAACAGAAGCATGTTCTTCATGAGCATGTTTTCCAGTTGACTCTCCAACATATTAATTTCTGCCTTTTATCGACCTCTTCAGCATCACGATCATGCAGGTAACGTTATCTCGAGAGTTCTTCTCTAATATCGCCTCATTCACCAGATCCTGACAAACGGCAGAATTTATACAAACAGCTTTTAAAAACTCTCCAGGTGATCGTCCCACATGACACACGATTTCTGGATCCTGCTCGCCCTTAGGCATCCGGCTTAGCCGATTCCGTACAAAGTCAACGACTTCCTACATGGGATAAAACACACAATCGTTTCTGCCTTCATAAAGGAGCAATTTTAGAGCTAACCTGTGAGGAGAGGACATCAAAGAGACCATCACAGGCAATAACAATGAATTCGTCTTCGTCCTGATAGCCGACACAGATGTTCAAATTCAGAATTTCGCTCGATACCACACCTTGATGAAGTCGGCATGAATTTCAGGATCAGGAATGACCAATGGCGGCTGATCATCGGGCAAGCCAGTTTTATACTCCAGGTCGCCAAACGCTCGAGACACTGCTAATCTGAGACGTCAGAGACAACCACATGCATTGAAGTTATGCTGCGTACTTTCCCAATACTCTGCCGAAGAACACAAACCCCCCTGCTTCTCGAATCCTTTTAAATTCATCTTGTCGTGAAGGGCGTTGATCATTCGATAAAGCTATCGCCCTGTTGAATGAGTGAAGCACCGCAGGACAACGGAATGATTGTGCTGATAAAACCTTATGGCACTGTTAAATCACAACCACTACTACTAGTAGTAGTCTACTACTACTGCTACTAGCCTACTACTTACCTCCCGTTTCGAGATAGCACTGCCCGAGCGTCACCGGTATTGGCACAGATTATCGCGTTGCCCATGATAAGGACTATCACTGATACACAACCTAAGACCACTTGAATGACAATGGATGTGCTCCTATGGTGGCTAACCCGCGGCACTCGACCATTCTTCCTCAGTTGCAGTCTTGATAAAGGCTT